TTCAATAATGCTCTCACGAAAGTTATTGTTGACTGCATGCACAAACACATGAATTTTCTTACATTTGGTTTTCATTCCATGACTTCTTATTTGCTTGTATTCTACCTGATACAAACATGCGGTTTCCTTCCCAAGTTACGTTCTTTGTTCAAATTTTTAGCATATGTATAGTCGTTCTTTCATTGTGCTCTTGTCGACAATTTAGTGACATAGATTTAAACTTCTAAAGAAGAAAACAAAAAACTCATTAACTTTAAACAACATGATGTGGAGGCCAAAATGATAGAAGATTTAATGGCAAGCCAAGAACAAACACATGTATTTACTATGATGCACAGACTTTGGCCCATCATTATCATCATCATCATCATCATTATCATCATCATCATCATCATCATCAGCATCATTATCATTATCATTATCATCATCATCATCATCATTATCATCATCATCATCATCATCATCATCATCATCATTATCACCAGATTACTTAACAGATATCTGTATAACATACCTTTCTAATTGACAGTGTAGCTCAGTCGGTTAGAACAACAGTTTCGATTTTTCAATAATAATAATAATATCTTTCATTTATCCAGGGATACATATTTAGACATGTCTAATTTACAATATGGCCCTGCATCAATGAGGCTGATCATGAGGTGAGCTATGTCTTAGCACACCTGGTTTGCACATGAGCTTTACGTGTTTTCACTGCTCCAAAGAAAACATTACCTGTCATACCTGCATGTCCTTGGGAGGTATACTTTATTGTGTAGCTATTCCTTACTTTGGCACGGGAATATTCAAGAGAATGAAATCTCTTATTCCAGTTCAATACTCTTTTGAAAAGAATAACATTACCATTCAATGGTTTCTTCAGAAAATGCAAGTATATCATATCCTATATCCGATTCCAATTCAATCAATCACGACAATGGACCAAAAGGAATGTCCTGTACGAAATAGTCCAGCCGTATGGAAGCAGGAATTTTTACTCAAAACCCGTATACGGAATACTGTCCAGTACAATAATCTTAACAATTATATATATAAGACAATCCATACGGAGTGTGGCAGGAATTTGGCAAGTAATATTTAAATGAGCCCATACGGATTTCCATATTTGGAAAATCGGTCCGCCAAAGACCTGCTCCAAGACGTGCAGACTTTAAAATTCCACATGGATTCATAAAACCCAAATGGATATTAACAGTACTGGATTTTTCAAAATCCATACGGATTTTTCAAAAATCCTTAGGGGTTTTTCAAAAATCCTTAGGGTTTTTTCAAAAATGTATATACCAGAATAAATCTGTTAATAGTATAGTCAGTAAATCCATTTGGTCATGGATTGCAAAATTATCCGTACAGATATATATATGAAGAAAATCTACATGCAATCATGGTAAAAATGATTATAATGCAGTGCATGACAATTGCAGCTGAAAAATGACTTCATGTAAAATAACTCAAACCATAATAGATTTACAAGTTTAAAAATTTATTGTATTTCAAAATATTTTGCGCAAGTTGCACTTTGAACAAAAATATAGGCTAGGTTCATATTCACTATTCAAGCCACAGCATTTCACATTAAACATACTAGGAAAGTAAAGCATATTAAGCAAAGCATTCAAGTAGGAGAATCAGATGTACATACCCATGGTATACGTAGTTGCTATTCAAAATTCTACCAGGCAGTAGTGGCAATTTGTATGTATCACTGTTCGAGTAACCAGTACTTAGTAAAGTAAATTATTTGAAGATTTTTTTTTTTAAATGACTGCATTGTTACAGGTGTCAAATCACTTCTTAAGGATCTCAGGATGCTTTACACAAAAAACTTACAAAGAATTAATCTTCAAATATATATCAAACAAAGAAAAACGACCAAACTATGTAAACACTTCTCTCTAGATGATATTCTTTTGGATTCCTACCATTTCATGGTGTAGAATGAAATTACTAAAATGCAATATTGAAATAACTGCTTACCAATGTAAACAAGAGTATCGCAGGACGGAACAATATACTCACGTCTAGATTCTTGCATAAAATATAGAAATGTAACAAGAAGAATTAAAAAGCTGCTTCAGAAACCCTGTCATGGTAACAAATCCTTCTAAGTTTCAAAGAGATTGATTTAAAACAACATAATAAAATCTCAGGACAAGATTAAAACACTGAAATAAACAAAGAGTATCAACTCTTTCAAAAACTTTTGAATCAACATGGGGCTCTATACTAAGTTTTGAATAGATAGATTCAAATACTTAAATAATCAACATCCAATAACCCTTTCATAAATTGTCAGATCAAAAAGCTACACAACTACATATGGATCTTAAAGCCGACAAAGTTTCAAAGAGATCAGTAAAAAAACCACTTACAGAGACGACTTCCTGACAATGTAAGCATTAATTTATTAATGCGTTATTAATATTTCACAGCATGTTTCTATTATGTTTAATATGTGAATAATATATCCACAGTTAGGATCATATTGTTTATATGTAATTTACCGATAAATGTGTGTAATGTCCAGGATATTACCCAGTGTGGATTGGTGGGGAACGAGCTGCGTTGTATGTTTGTTTACGTTGTCAGACAGGAAGGAAGTTAAGTGATATCAGAGTAGTGCATTGTGGGGCGATATACGGCCCAGCAGAAAGCCAAGTGTCAGCCAATCGGTGTTGAGTTTGTGTGTCGTCCCACCAATTGCACTCCGGTATCATATTTCATTGATGCTTTCTTTGTTTGAAGGATTGTGGCGGCATTCAGGCATAACGTAGCGAAAGGGCAAGGCCGCGTTTTATGTTTACAAACTTTTCCACATGTTTTCAGTACTTTGAACAATGAATGATTGTGAATGGATCACGAAAGAGTCGTAAGAGATTATCTCTTAATACCGGAACGGTATATTGTGGACGAAATTGAAATTGAACGTTTGTTTCAAATAATTTGTACCAGTTCATCAAAAAATGTCGCCGTAATGACGATTCGTCTGGACTGTACAGCGTTTTGCGAGGGATGCATCTTTTGTGACCCGGGATCATACCATCAGATTTGTGGCTTGCGGGTTCAGCGTGCGCACTAAATTTTACTCGTATTTGAACGATACCAATATGGATGATCTTTCCCACGATATCGAGGTAGTTAAAAAGTGGTCAGCGGCCAAAAAATTGAGTGCTGAGACGGCGGAGGCCATCATAACGGCCGGTTTCACTTCCATGGAGGCACTAGCGTGTTTGGACCCGGAATCGATTAAAAAATTAAAGCTGAATCTGGGCCAAACTAAGTTGTTGGAGAAAGCGATGAGGAAAACCTTTCTCACTGAAGATGAGAGGTGCAACATGGACGCAAGTCAGGAGCATGCCCACCCAGATGCGAGCGGAACGGGACAGGACAATGTCGGACATGTTATTCCGGAAATTGTTACGACCGGAAACGAGGTGCAGGAAGATGAGGAGCTCGTGCGAACAATTCTTAATCAGTTGCGGCAGGGGCAGGAACCACAGGCACAGTGATGAAACGATAGGGGGCCAAACATTCAAGGTGGGTTCTCATGGCAAGATCCGCAGGTCTTTTTAAAGTCCCTTACCGCGGGGGGTCCTAGTAACCTTCATCTAGATATTGTGGATTTTGTTAATGCTGGGGGGGGCCCATATGTCGGAAAGTGTTGTGTCTGACAGCGGGGAATTTCAAATTGTTTGTAGAGCTGCCCCCGCCAAACCCAAATTAGAGTCGGTGACTCTTAGCCAATGGTCCACGGCCAACTTAGCAATACTGCATACACTGGTCAAGAAAGGTGTACTACCGGAGAGTCAGATGTTTGACTACCTGTCATACACATCGATGATTTGTATGACAGGGAATACCGGCGGTTACAAAACCTCCACAATTTTCGTTGGGGTACATCAGTTAGCCACTTATCCATTGAATACTTGAGACTAAGACCCCAGTCTCAGCAACAGCAGCGTAAGAAGCCAGGGCCGTCTGCACCTCACTCGGGTGGTGGTAACCGAACCCCCTTTTCAAATTTTAACAACCAGGGAAAGGAGATATGCAAAAAGTTCAATAGTAGGTCAGGCTGCCAATTGAAAATTTGCAAATATTACCACTCCTGTGCAATCCCAGGCTGTGCTGAGAAGCACTCTGCTGTTGGGCATAGCCAGGCAAAAAACCTACAGTAGGAAAGCAGTTATCATCGCTAAACGTTGCCGCTTGGTCTGCGGAGTTGGTGGACGACCCTGATAAGGAATTTCTTCTTCATGGTATAGATAAGGGTTTTGATATTGTTGATCCTAAGGCTAACCTCACTCCAATTTGCGTAGAAAATCATAAGTCTGCACAGCCGAGCAGCCCTTTGTTTGATAAGGCGTCTATACAAATTTGTAAAGAAATTGACGAAGGCAATTATATTGAAGTTTCGGTAAAACCTGCCATTATTAGCCCATTAGGTGTTATTCCAAAACCGGACGGCGGCGTCCGCATTATTCATGATTGTAGTCGACCTGAAGGATTTTCAATAAATGATAATGCAGGTGAAATGGAGAAACAAACATTTAGTTCGGTTGATACAGCAGCTCATATGGTCACCAAAAATTGTTTTATGGCGAAGGTTGATCTGAAGAGTGCATATCGGGTGGTAAAAATTAGCAAAAATAGTCAGAAGGCCACCGGTATTCAGTGGCATTTCCTGGACGGTATTAAATATTTCTATGATTCCAAGTTACCTTTTGGGTCCAAACTAGCTCCTGGTATTTTTCAGACTATCGCAAGCGTTCGTGCGCATGATGGCGAAGCGCGGTTTTCCTAATGTTGTTGCCTACATCGACGACTTCTTCATATGTCGCTCAGATTGAAAGGGATGTTTGCAGACCCTTAATGTGTTGGTGACGCTTCTCAGAAAGTTAGGCTTTTTAATCAATTGGCAGAAGGTAGTTGACCCGACTACAACCTTAACGTTTCTGGGTATAGAAATTTGTTCTATGCAAATGCAATTGCGGCTTCCTGATGACAAATTGCGAGTTGTCAAGGAAGAGCTGTCTAAATTTAGGCACCGCAAGCGGGCAACTAAGGTGCAGCTGCAATCCTTGGTTGGCAAACTTATTTGGGTTTCATCCGTTGTGTATGGCGGGAGAGCTTTCCTTCGCAGACTTATCAATGCGATGAACACCCTGCGGCATAAATCGCACAAATTGCGCTTCAGTGCGGACACTCTGCTTGACATCAAGTGGTGGTTGGCTTTCATGCCCCAGTTCAATGGGAAATCTCTCCTGCTGGAGAGCATGCCTGTTTCAGCATTGTACACGGATGCATGCAATGAGGGGGCGGGTGGTCATTGGGGTGACAGCTGGTTTTATTGTAACTGGAAGATGGATTACCCTAATGTAGCCCCTTTGCATATAAATGAAAAGGAGGTGGTAGCAGCCACGCTAGCAGTTCAGAATTGGGCCCCACAGTTGGCTAATAAGCGGGTTTATATCTTCTCCGACAATGCTGTTACTGTCGCTTGCATCAACAAATGCACTTCGCGTAACAACCGAATCATGCAATGTTTGCGTTATTTGTTTTGGCTATCAGTGCAATTTAATTTTTACTTAACCGCAAGACACATCCCCGGCAAGCACAATACATGTGCAGATTGTGTGTCCCGCTTGCATGATCCAGAGTTCTTTTCTGACTTTGTCTGTACAGACATAGGGACCAGTGCTTCCTGATTGAATAGCATTTCTATCAGAACCTTGTCTTTTCTTTTGAATAGGCATTGCGGTGGGACGTCAGATATTGGCCCTGGATGACAGAGTAGCTCGCCTAAAGAACAGTGCATTGGCACCTTCCACGCGTCGAACATATACAGCATATTTAGATGCGTATCTAAAATTTTGTGAGGAAATCAGAATTGCTGCTTTGCCTATATCTGCTAGAAATCTTAAAGTCACAAAGTGCCAAGTGAGCTTATGCCGTGGTGCGGCGTCCGGCGTCCGTCCGTCGTCCGGCGTCAATATTTTACTTTAAACGACTTCTTCTTAATAACCGAAAGGCCTAGGGTGACGATATTTGGCCAGAAGCAAACTGGGATGAAGGGCTACCAAGTTTGTTCAAATACATGACCTTCATCTATTTTCAAGGTCACAGGGGTCAAATATGTTAAAAACTTTAAACAACTTCTTCTCCATAACCAAACTGCCCAGGGAGATGATATTTGGTCAGTAGCATGCTAGGGTGAAGGGCTACCAAGTTTGT